AGAGGATCCCCGGGATCAGCGGGATCCCACCAGGGGTCAGCAGGATCCCCAGGGGTCAGCAGGATCCCCCAGGGGTCAGAGGATCCCCCAGGGGTCAGAGGATCCCCAGGGGTCAGCAGGATCCCCCAGGGGCCAGCAGGATCCCCCAGGGGTCAGCAGGATCCCCAGGGGTCAGCAGGATCCCCCAGGGGCCAGCAGGATCCCCCAGGGGCCAGCAGGATCATCCCCCCAGGGATCAGCGGGATCACCCAGGGTCAGCAGCACCCCCAGGGGTCAGCAGGATCCCCAGGATCAGAGGATCTCTGGGATCAGGGAGTCCCCAGGATCAGCAGCACCCCCTGGATCAGAGGATCTCTGGGATCAGGGGATCTCTGGGACCAGGGGATCCCCGGGATCAGCAGCACCCCCTGGGATCAGAGGATCTCTGGGACCAGGGGATCTCTGGGACCAGGGGATCTCTGGGATCAGGGGATCACTGGGATCAGGGGATCACTGGGATCAGGGGATCTCTGGGATCAGAGGATCTCTGGGATCAGAGGATCTCTGGGATCAGGGGATCTCTGGGATCAGGGGATCTCTGGGATCAGGGGATCCCCGGGATCAGCAGCACCCCCGTGACCCGCGGCACTTGCCGGGTGCAGGATGGTGCCCAGGATGTTCTGGTTGTGGCAGCTCTCCAGCACGATCTGCACGTCCCTCTGCAGCAGCCGCGACTCCGTGAAGAATTTGGCTTCGGCCGCAAACGGCTCCGGGACCTCGGCGTCGGCCTCGCGCTTGAACGTGGGGCACTGCGGGAACGGGAACATCGGGAACTTCGGGAATGGGAACATCGGGAACTTCGGGAACATCAGGAACATCGGGAATGGGAACATCGGGAACATCGGGAACATCGGGAACATCGGGAATGGGAACATCGGGAATGGGAACATCGGGAACATCGGGAATGGGAACATTGGGAACATCGGGAGCATCGGGAGCATCGGGAATGGGGACATCGGGAACGGGCTGGGAAACCACTGGGGAGGAGAGACTGCCCCCATTCCCCGGCTCCAGCGGGGCTTCCGGGGCTGAAATCTGGGAATTTGTGTAAAGACAGAGCCCTTGGAATGCCCCGGGAATGGGAACCAACTCCAGTCCTGGGAACCTGGAGAGACACCGGGAGCTGCTGGGGAGAGCCCAGAGGAGACCCCGGAGCTGCTCCAGGCCTGGAGCCCCTCAGTTCCCAGGGATCCAGCCTGGGAGAGCTGGGAATGTTCCCCTGGAGAGGAGAAGGGTCCAGGGAGAGCTTCCAGAACGTTCCAGGGCCTGAAGGGGCTCCAGGAGAGCTGGGAATGTTCCCCTGGAGAGGAGAAGGGTCCAGGGAGAGCT